AGCTCTATCCACTGAGCCAACCCAGTGAAGGCCACCCTATTGTCTTTAATTGTTTTATAGAGAGAGAAGAAGGAAGAAAAAGAGAGAAAGGTTGATGTGGCAGTGAAACATTGATCCACTGCCTCCTGCATGCCCCCTATCAGGGATTAAGCCTGCAGCCCAGTCATGTGTCCTGACCAGGAATAGAACCTGCAACCTTTTGGTGCATGGTATGATGGTCAGCCAAGTGAACCACACTGGCCAGGGCAAGATTTGAGATCTTAAAGATATGTCCTGCTATCTTAAGATTTGTCCCACAAGATTAAAAAAATATTTTGTTTCTATATAAGAAAAATGTCTTTATTCATAGGGACATGAATACTGAAGTATTTAGGGGTGAAATGTCATTGTCTTTGCTTTAACTTATTTTCAAATGACTTAGGAAAAAAAGTGATACACACAGAAATTGCACAAATGATACAAAATGTTAAGAAAGGAAAAATATCAGTCATCACTTATTTCATTTAATTAAATGTTTTAATTTAATTATTGGAAAAGGCAATGTATCCATAATTTATTTAGATATTTATCTAAATCATTTGAAAATATCTTGAATTATTCTTTATATTATTTCCATTTTTCCCCAAAAAAATTACAATGTTATAATAATTGTATAGTTTATTTTGAACATCATTCATTTAGTCTAATGGTAGTAAAAGTTTCTAAGCCATAATCCTACACTTATTTTCACATTAAATGAACATAAACTGTATCTTATATCAAAGGTGCTGTTATTTCTTCACTTCACCCCTGCCTTTTCTTGGCATGTAACTGTGAGCTGTTTGAAACCTTTTTCTTGATTGATAGTTAAGTACTGAATAACTCTAATTTCCAGAATATTTATGGTTTTATTTCAACACTTTCCTCAGTAAGCATATTCCAAAAGTATGTATTAATATCTCTGTCTATTCCCAACACAATTCTCCATTTTATTTTTGTAATTTTATTTTTATTACTGACACTATTGAAGATGACCCATTTTCCCCTCCTTTGCCCACCTCCACCCAGCCCTCCCGCCCCCCTCCCTCTGGCCATCACTATACTGTTGTCTGTGTCCATTGGTTATGCATATATGTTTTTGGCTAATCTTTATACCTTCTTTCATCCAGCCCCGCCTACCCCTATCCCCTCTGAAAGCTGACAGTATGTGTCTTGAACTAATTTGTTGCTAACATTTTAGAATTTTTTAGACTAAATATTTTTGCCTTTCACTTCAAGAATTTTACTTTCTCTTACAAATCTTCTGAGAGTTTGAGTAACTTTATCTATTGATACTGCTACTTTAAAAGTGTTTCTGCCTTTTTCACTGGCAGCGATATCCTCTGTGGCAGATGACCTGTTATTTGATTCTAGAATTGTATTGTAATTCAGATACTGGTAAAACAAGACAATGCTTATCACCAGAATTATAACTTTTTAAAATAAAATCTCACCAAGGATTAATTTCATGTAATGGGTCAAAGGTACGAAATTTCGTTAATAAATGCCACATGTAATTATATAACTTTGACATCTCTGCTTGTGTACAGTTATGCTATCCTATTTAATGTGGTGTGCCAACTCTGCAGCATTGACAGGTATGATGGCAATGACTTAGACATAGCTGATGTCCACCAAGCTTCCAGTACCTTTTCTCTCCAGTGGTCGGCAAACTGGCTCGGCAAACTGCGGCTCGCAAGCCACATGCGGCTCTTTGGCCCCTTGAGTGTGGCTCTTCCACAAAATACCAACTTCTGCGCACAGGCCACGAAGTTTCAATAGCACTGTACGTGCGTGCCCGTATGTGGTATTTTGTGGTATTTTGTGGAAGAGCCACACTCAAGGGGCCAAAGAGCCACATGTGGCTCGCGAGCTTCAGTTTTCCAATCACGGCTCTAGATGGTATCAAATACATACATTTACTAGGGATCTTACACAAAAGTTTAGTACTTTAACTAAATTAAAGAATAATTGTGAAGTTGATAATAACTTTATCAGGAAACTGTACTGTGACGGTAGGGAGAATGAATTCTAGAGTCAGACATAGCTGGGTGAGAATCCCAGGACTTCCACTTATTAGCTTTCATTGAGTTTCTTCAGTTGAAACAGTTAATTTACTTAATCATTCATTTTTCAATTAGTAAATGTGTGTTGAGCTGGTTAGCAGCATAGTTCCAAGCACTGGAGCTAAAGAAGTGAGTTAGGCCCGACTGGTGTGGCTCAGTGGTTGAACGTTGTCCTATGAACCAAGAGGTCACGGTTCAATTCCTGGTCAGGGCACATGGCTAGGAATATATGCAGGTGGCAGCTGATTAGTCATTCTCTCTCATCTTTGATGTTTCTATCTATCTCTTCCTCTCTCTTCCCTCTGAAATCAATAAAAAAAAAGAAGTGAGTTAGAAGGACAAAGTCCTTGACCTCAAGGGGCTTACATTCTGTTGGTACGACAGAAAGAAAAAAAAAAAAGTAGGTGCATAGTGTAACATCAGATAGCATTAAGTCCTATGAAAAAATATTAATGTAGAATCTGGATCAAGTAACCAGAACAGGAAGCTTGTATTTCAGACAAGGCAGTTAGAAAAGGCCTCTCTGAGGAGGTAATACTTGAAGGAGGGTAGGGAGGAAGGCATGCAGTTGGTTAGTGAGAAATGGAGGGAACAATGAACTGAAAAGCCTTAATAGATGTTTTAGTGGAGGGTAAATGAAAATTTGTAAACTCAGCTATAGTTAAATGCTCATTAGGTGTTAGATCTTATTTTAAGATAAGAAACAGATAATTCAATGGATTATGTGCCTTCTTTGTTCTAATGTACATCTTCCTTTTCATCTTGATAATTTCTCTTCTCTCAAATTCTACATTATTCATCCTGTCCTCTTTTTTTTTTAATATATTTTATTGATTTTTTACAGAGAGGAAGGGAGAGAGATAGAGAGTCAGAAACATCGATGAGAGAGAAACATCGACCGGCTGCCTCCTGCACATCTCCTACTGGGGATGTGCCCGCAACCCAGGTACATGCCCCTAACCGGAATCGAACCTGGGACCTTTCAGTCCACAGGCCGACGCTCTATCCACTGAGCAAAACCGGCCTCGGCCTGTCCTCTTTTTTAATCTTTAGTGAGTTAAACTCTGCCTGCTATACTCAGATGCTACTGCTATTAGAGGTCCTCTTTTCTTGGTTTTTGCCTTTGGCTTGGCATTTGTATTCTATGAACTGTCACATTGATTATCTTGCTAAGTATTGGGCAAGTGCCCTCTCTAAGCAGGAAATTCACAACTTCTCTATGATTATGTTAATAGTGATATACCTAACCAGTGGGGACCTGTTTTGTGTGTGTGTTGGGGGGAAGGGCGGAGCGTGTGCATGCGCTTGTGCACCCACAGGGGGAAGGGTGATAAAAATGTCAAAATGCCATTTGGAAAATGATGCTTTCAGATAACAAAGAAAGCCCAACTGATCCGAACCACCATCAGCCACATTTCCCACCATGGTTCCTACTTTATACTTCCCCCCGGATGCTTCCAGAAATCAGACCAAAGTGCCCATTTACCTCTGCCTCTTGCTGTGAAACCACTACCGGAGCTTGACCCACTTTTGTTATATTTCTGCCTTATTTGGCTATAAAACATTTATTCCTGATTTTATCAGTGTGGATCCAATCAGAGACAAACACCACACACTAATTTTAATAAGAAAAGTTTTTATAAAGAACTAGAGGCCTAGTGCATGAAATTCGTGCACTGGTAGGGTCCCTAGGCCTGGCTGGCGATCAGGGCCGATCAGGTTCCCTGCCTCCCTGCCTCCCCAGCTCCCGCCTCCTCCTTCCCTTGCTCCCTCAGTGCCCTGCAGCCACAGCTGGTCACCTGCCATGTTCTGCACCGCCCCCTGGTGGTCAGTTCACATCGTAGCCAGCAATTGAACTCCTGGTCTCCTGGTTGAACTCCCCAGGGGACACTTTGCATATTAGCCTTATATATAGAGAGATTATTAAATGTAACAAGATATTGGCATAATGAAGGATTGGCTAGTGAAAAAGACCTATTAGTCTTCTCAGGTTATCATACAAAATACCATAGACTATGTGGCTTACATAGCAGGAATATATTTCCCACAGCTCTGGGGGCTGAGATTTCCAAGGTGAATGTGCTAGCTGATTTGGTTTCTGGTAAGAGCCCTATTTCTGGTTTACAGATGGCCACCCTTACACTGTGCTCACAGAACTTTCCTCTATGAGCACCTGAAGGGCAGGGGAATGGAGGGAAGAAAAGATGAGGGAGAGGAAGTGCTGATATCTCTTCTAACAGCACTAATTCTTTCATGAGGGTTCTGGCCTCATAATTTCATTTAAACATACCTATCTCCCTAAGACCCCCTCCTCCAAGTACTATCGCATTCAGGGTTAGAGCTTCAAGGTATGACTTTTAGGAGGACACAAACATTCAGTCTATAGCAAAAGAGAATTCAAAAGAATAAAGGTTGCTCTTAATCCTATGGCTGATACACAGCATCCAAGGAAAAGCCCCTATCTTCTGAACTCCAGAGTGAGATCCAAACCTTACTGGGAAAGTGAATGGCTTACTGAATGGTTGGTAGTATAGTGGTGAGCATAGGTGCCTCCCAAGCAGTTGACCTGGGTAGTGTTGGGTAGTGCAGGTTCCTCAGCCAGGGACTTGACACTTCTGGGTGTAGGAAATTGGAAGAACACACAAGGTACAGTAGGTAGGTGGGACATGTTTATTATGAACAAAGCAGCCAACAACTGGCTGGTCAGTGGCATCTTATATACATGCTCAATTGAAAGAGGCCTCGTGCTAATTAGTGACTTTAGTGCTACATTAATATAAACAGGTTACATAAGGGTGTGCTTGCAAAGTACATATAGTGCTGCTGCTGGGTCACTGCCTCGTGCATGCATAGGCCAAAGGGGCCTTTAACATAGTAATACTGCTGTGTCATTGCTTGCATGCATGGGGACGGCGCATGGGCCTTGAACCTCCAGTGTCCTCTGGTCAGGGCTCCCACATCACTGAAGTGCCACACTGGCCGAACTTGCAAATCTGCCCTCTGGAACTTGACAAGCACTCCTCCTCTAAAGCACCTGGGAAAGCCGTTTGTGGGAAAGTGTCTTACATGAGGCTATGATACAAAATGGCCAAGCTGCTGGCTGCTTGGCACTGAGTGCAGGAATCGGGTGCTGGAGAAGCCTTGCCCTCGGCAAAAGCCCTCCTAGGAAACACACTTGGACCAGGGAGCAGAACCCTTTGCTGCCGCAATGTCTCTTCAGCACCCTCTACCAACAGCGCTTCAGTGGCAGCTAACAGAAGTTTCCAGGGTCCGGGTCCACTTTCAAAGAACAGTCCAAAAAGGGTGAATAGGGGGATGTACAGTAGAAAGGCAATAAATCAACAACCACCACACTGCTCTAAACTGAGAATAAAGACCAGCAGAGGCAAGCTGAGTGACGAATATGTTGTTTGTCAGCATGGTAAATTACTTTCAGTGTCATTCTGAGTTTTATCCATGGCTGAATCCTCTGTGCCTAGAATAGAATCTAGTCCAATTTGGGTGTTCAATATATATTTGTTGAATGAATAATGAATGAATGAAGTAATTCTTAAATCTTCCTCTAATGCGTTCTGTCTCTCTCTCTCTCTCTCTCTCTCTCTCTCTCTCTCTCTCTCTCTCTTGTTTTTAGCTGACGGATGCACCGATTGGTCTATCGACATCAAGAAATATCAAGTTTTGGTCGGAGAACCTGTTCGAATCAAGTGTGCACTCTTTTATGGTTATATCAGAGCAAATTACTCCCTAGCCCAAAGCGCTGGACTCAGTTTGATGTGGTATAAAAGCTCTGGTCCTGGAGACTTTGAAGAGCCAATAGCCTTTGATGGAAGTAGAATGAGCAAGGAAGAAGACTCCATTTGGTTCCGGCCAACGTTACTCCAGGACAGTGGTCTTTATGCCTGTGTCATCAGGTATCCATTTAATTATACTACTGCTGACTCAATCAAATCACATGTCGCTTTCTTAGACTTAAATTTTGCTGCTATGCCTTTCACCTAAGGTATTGTCTCAATATTTGTGTGTGTTGCTGCTTTCTAAAATTTAGAATCTAAATCTTCAAAAGATGGGATTGGAATTTATATTGAGACATTATTTCTGACTTATGGAGAAAAGAGATACCATCCGGGTATCTACTTATGTTGCCAGAAATTACTAAAGACTATGAAGTAAAATTTATAGAGGAGGTGAAATGTTGCAAATCAAATGCAAGCAAAGACTTGCAGGAAGGATGCATGGTTTATTGCTAAATGGGTTGTAACGTTTTGTTATTGCCCTTCACAGACAGATAGAGCACAGATAGCTCTGGTTCGCACACATCTGCAGAGATGATTTAGGTAATGTGTGTTGTGCGCAGGAATAGGCAGGCAGCATTGGCATCTTAGGGAATATGAATACAAAGGCTGTGTTCCAGATCATTTTCTTAACTGAAAGTGCTGCGTCAATACAACCATTTACCCAGGTCCCTCAGGGCCAATTCAAAAGTTAATAACAAAGTCTGTGCCCTTGTCCCCAAAGAAACTCATCACACAGCCACACATCTTTGTCTGCTTTCAGAGGAGACATGTAGTTCATTTAATAATAATACATTGAAACAGTATCTATGTAACACATGAGGAGTTAAAAAATCTCAGTTTAAGAAGTTAGCCCTGCATGGATTGTGAATCACAGCTGGCACAAATGATTGTGGGTGGCATTAGACCAGCAATTTTCAACCTTTTTCATCTCATGGCACACATAAACTAATTTCTACAATTCTGCTGCACACCAAAAATAAATGTTTTGTCAATCTGACAAAAAATAGGTGTTAGTTTGATTCATTCACACCGGGTGGCTATTGTGTTGGCTCTTGTCATTTTTTTCTGTTTGACAATCTAAAGGGAAATAGGTCAGTGCTCCTGACTAAATAGTCAGGTATTACATGTTTTAAAAATTCTGGCATCACACTAGTTGAAAATTGCTGCATTAAATGATAAGAACATTGTCAAAGCAGGTTATAGGCATATAAAGGATCTGTTTAAATCTATTCCTTTGTCTTCCTAAATCTTAGAAAGATGTGATTAAAATTTATATTAAGACATTATTTTTGGCTTATGGAGAAAAGAGATACCATCTGGGTATCTACTTAAGTTGGCAGAAATTATTAGGTTCATTAAGAGATAAAAAACCAAAGTTAATTTAGTTAATTCTCAATTTGGAGACTCTCAGGATCACCTAGTGTATCTTTTTAAAACAGATTTTTATTGATTTCAGAGAGGGAGGGAGAGGGAGAGATAGAAACATCAATGATGAGAGAGAATCATTAATTGGTTGCCTCCTGCACGCCCCCTACTGGGGATTGAGCCCTCCACCTGGGCATGTGCCCTGACCTGGAATCAAACCAGTGACCTCTTGGTTCCTGGGTCCATGGTCATCCACTGAGCCACGCTAGCCAGGCTCACCTAATGTATTTTTCAAATCAGCATTCGACATCCACTTTTGAAATTCTCATTGGCACCTATTACTCCTCTGACATAAGGACTGTGCCTCCACCTCGTTGTTACTTGTAAGAATTAACTTTACGCCGTTTCATGGCTACAGGTGTGTTAGGACATTCATATAGGTCAAAGCCACATAAAAATGTTAAACATAAATTTATCTTTTTAACGCTGGCAAAATACATTTAGGTTAATTTTGGAAAATATAAATGAATGCAAGTAAAATTGTGCTTGGGGAAAAAGTGGACTGGATTGTGAAACAACAAATTCATCATTTCTTTGGTGACTCTTATTCTTTCCCTTCAGGTACACCAAGCTTTGTATGCTCAAACATAACTATTATTAGAAGTAGAGACTTTATAGGGACATTGATAAATAATTGCCACAGTAGTACAGTTAAGATTACTGTTTGGACTGGCTGTTCTCACTTGACTAATACTAATTTGATTTAAATTCACATCTGCTGTGATTCTTTAAAAAATCATTATTTCTGATTGTTCATGCATGTGTAGAGGTGATTTTTCAAGAGAAGAAAATGTGTGTCCTCATTTATCTGAGATTAGAATTGAGCTGAATCTCCATAGTCTAACATTTAATTTCATTATGTGTCATTGATGAGGAAAAATGTGTTCACATTAGTAATATGAATTCTTAAAGCACAGAGGTTGCAAATCTTTGATGTGTTTACATATACACTATGATCCAATGCTCTAAGAAATTGCATTAAAATGTTCCTCAATTTATAATTGCAATAAGGAATGAAAGATCGAAAGTTTCAAAAAACATGCCTATGGGTATGTCTATGTTTTAATGGAAGGTGAAACTAAAAGACAAACACCTTAAAGTTTATGTGTCAAGTGGAGTTCTAGAGAAAGTAATAATCACAGAAAAGATACGTTTATCACTGAAATTCAAATATTCCAGGTACTTTGAAGCTAGTGTAGATATGGCTCTTTTTTTCAATTAGGAAAGTGATACTAAAAATTATAAATCACAGTTTAGATAGCATGGCTTGGTGTTGATGTTAAGGGAGTCTAGGGCTGTTAGTTCAGTCACTGACATTTTGGCACATTGTTAGTTATCGGGCCACAAAACTGTCACCATGAGTTTTTAAATAATCCACGTTCAAAGAATATTTTGGAAGTTTAAATATTTTAGTTTCTTAAAATTTCTAGTCCTTTTGATAAGTGTTCTGGGTATTAAACTTATCAATGAAAAAGTTATAATAAGCTGCTTCATGTACAGCTAATTTGCATTCACACCTAAATATTTACAATTATATGTTTTAAATAATGGAAACGCCTAAGACTACTCTCAGTACAATGCATAAGAACTTTCCTACTCTCTTCTCTTTGTATCTATGTTTGGACAGAATAATACCTCATAATTCTTTGCTCCACAGAAACTGGCTTTTTACTCTATTTTTATCCTTATGGAATTTTTATTTTTTGCGTGAAAAAGTGAATGAAAGGGAGCCACGTAAAAACATATTTTCTTTTTCTTTATTGCCACTAAAAAATACATTTGCTTTCTAAAAAATAAAATTTTCCTGCGCTCTTGACTTCCTAGTTTTGTAATCTCCCTCTTCAGAGTTGTGCCCTGTTAGCAGTTTCATATGAACTTGTAAGCATTTTAATGCCCCCCAAAGGGTAGAATACTGAGTTTGTGGCACCTTATTCTTTTACTAAAGTTTTTATTTTTGAGGCACTTGTAGATTCTTATTCAGTTGAAAGAAATAATATAGAAAGGTCTTATGAATTCTTTAACTGGTGTCTCTCATATGTTCTTCAATGAATGAATAAAAACTGTGGTAATATCCATACCTTGGAACACTACTCACCAATAAACAACAACAAACTACAGAACGAACATATGCAGTAATTTGGATGGATTTCAACAGAATTAGGTTGAGTGAAAAATCTATTTCCAAAAAGTTATATACTGTATGATTGCACTTCTATAACATTCTTGAACTGAAAATATAGATACAGAGCCCTAGGCAGTTTTACTCAGTGGAGTGTTGGCCTTCGGACTAAAGGGTCCCAAGTTTTGGGCTCAATCCCCAGTAGGGGGCGTGCAGGAGACAGCCAATCAATGATTCTCTCTCATCATTGATGTTTCTCTCTCTCTCTCCCTCTTGCTTCCTCTCTGAAATCAATAAAAACATATTTTTTAAAAGAATGATATATTGAGGACTTACATATTCTCCAAAATAGAAAGGATGCTTTGCTGTTGAATAGACATCCTTTATCAACCTCCTATTTCCCATAGAATAAAAAAAATATTGCCTCGTAAAGTATCTGCAGATTTTGTGGCTTCTCCGCTGCCATTTAGACATGTTTCTGCCCATAACATGAAAATGTTTGAGCCTTTTGCCTTATGCTCCCAGATGATACTAAAAGAAATATTGATTGGTCAGACTCAGGTCAGATGTCTGGAATAAAATGAAAACACAGTAAAAAGTTAAAAGAAAGAAACTCAGCTCCTGAAAGATATATCATAAATTCCTTGAGGAAAGAAGCTGCATTGTGTTAGTACCCTTATTACTTAGTGTGAAACAACAACACATGGATTGATGGAACACACACACACACACACACACACACACACACACACACAGACACACACACAAAAACAACTTTTCTCCACCTCTACAAGGGTATTTCAAGTGCACTCTTGGTTTTTCAACAGAAATAATAGAAAAAAGTTCAATCTCATATTTATATTGTATTGCTTTTTTAATGATTTTATTTTTCTAGAACACCCTCAGAAGCCTCACTTTGTTTGAGCTTCACATCTCTGCCTGGTCAGAAGGGCATGCCCACTTTGCAGAGTTAGAAAATAAAGAAAACAGATGTGAATAGACTTTTCAAATTTCCACAACTAAGTGGGGCTGCAAAATATAACGTTTGACTTTTTAAAGTATATATCTATTTTTAAGGAAATATGGACAATGACTAAAAGAAAGTGAAGTCCACCACTGCCAAAAATTTCAAACCTTAATATGTATAATTAAGAAGAGTGAGCCTGGCCAGTTCTCTCAGTGGTTAGTGCATCAGCTTACAAACCAAAGGGTCCCAGATTTGATTTTGGTCAAAGGCATGTACCTTGGTTGCAGGCTCCTCCCTGACCCAGGCCCTGATCAGGGCACTTGCAGGAGACAACAAATCGATGTGTTTCTCTTACATTGATATTTTTCTCTGTCTTTCCCTCTCTCTTCTGCTCTCTCTAAAATCAATGGGAAAATATCCTTGGGTGAGGATTAAAAAAAAAAAAGTAGAGAGAGCTCCCCTCTCTATCTGTCTTATTTGACTACCAAGGATAAGCATTGGAAACAATTTGGACAATTTGGTATACTTTCAGACATTTCTCTATGCCTGTACATGCATGTCTATCTAAATGTGCCTGCGTGCACACATACATTCTCTCATCCATTT